GCAAAGAATCGAAGATACTGGCTTCAATAGTGCTTCAGTGATCTAGTGGCCAGTAAGCATTTTTGTTTTTAGCCTTTTCACTTCAGCTGTAGTTGTACCTTGTAGTTCTTTTCTCTGGGCATGTTCTACAGAGGAGAATTCTACTTAAAGATTCATTCATTATCTGAAAGTCAGAGCCATTGGTTCATTCCACAGATGGCCAGAATAGAACCATCAGGCTCTCCCATATGTGTGGCAGGGGCACATGCACTTGAACCAACTTCTACTGTTGTCCAGTGGGGAGCTGGACTGGAAGTGGGTACTGGCATCATGGCATGCAGCTTAACCTGTTGTGTCACAGCACTAGTGCCAGTTCACCATGATGCATCACCACTGTCCTCTGTGCCTAACACCCCATCGAGATTCTCTCGTAGTTTCTTCACAGAACAACCTTCCTACCTCTCGCAGGGGTCAGCAGAGATACTAAGTTATCTACATAGATGGGAATGGGAATTTGGGTCACTAAATAATGTCTTTACTTAGTGGTAATAATAATGAATGGGTAAAATAGGAAAGTAAATAGAAATATTTTTAAAATAAGACTTTTAAGACTCTTTAAGCCTAGAAGATAATGAAAAATGAGAAGCTACTCATTGGTACTTTTCGAAATCATGTGGTTGAAACAGCTCTGGACTTTTTCAATCAGTTTGGTGGGTAGGTAGTTAAGCCTTGTGACAGTCTTTTTTAATGCAAAACACATTTCTCTATAGTCATGATCCTTTCTGTATTACTATTTGAAAAACTTTAAATAATGTTGTTGGAGTTAACATACAACACACATGAAAGTTTAAAGATTCATTCTGGGATAGCAACAGATCTCTTTAAAATATAATTTAAAAAGTACACATTTGTAAATTATCTTTTGTAAACTGCTCTTGAAGGGTATGGCAATTAGTAAATACTCAGAGGATGAGACCACATAAATTGAAATTGGAAAACCTTATGGACTCTTTTGATTCTGAAAATGCTTTTCTATTTTCCTTAAGACATTAATAAAATTTTTTTAATTATAAAAATTAAAAGACTATAATCATTATAACCCAAATCAGTATAATCAAGTTATTTCTATAATGAAATACTTGTTTTAAGAAAATATACATTATATATCAAATATCTAGGTTTATAATTCTTTAAATGATATAAAAACATACACATTTATTTCTTTTCTTTATCGGCCTGAAAATAATAAAAATGTTAAATGTGAAAACTTTTAAAATACAAAATACTTTGAGATAGAGCAGAAACCAAATTGAGTAAATTTATAGCAATTGCTATGTAAAAATATACAAATGAGTATAACTTTCTCCCATAATCTTTTAGTTCAGTTTTTACATTGTTGGGATCATACTGCATGGAATGCTTCCTACATGCTAGACATCCAGCTAAATGCTTCATGCACATTGTATCGGTATCCTATTAGTCTAGGATTTTACGCCCATTTTCTAGCTAGCAAAATTGAGGATTAGTGAGTTTTATATAATTTACACAAGATCCTCAGTTAGCAAATGCCAAGCTGGGACGTTAGCATAAGACTGACTAATGTTAAAAATCAATGCTCTTGGGCCCGGCGCGGTGGCGCAAGTGGTTAAAGGTCCTCGCCTTGCACGTCCGGGATCCCATATGGGTGCCGGTTCTAATCCCGGCAGCCCCGCTTCCCTTCCAGCTCCCTGCTTGTGGCCTGGGAAAGCAGTCGAGGACAGCCCAAAGCTTTGGGAACCTGCACCCGCGTGGGAGACCCGGAAGAGGCTCCTGGCTTCGGACCGGCATAGTATCGGCCGGTTGGAAGATCTTCCTCTTTGCCTCTCTGTCTCTCCTCTCTGTATATCCGCCTTTCCAATGAAAAAATAATAAAAATAAATCTTTTAAAAAAAATCAATGCTCTTAAATAATTACGCTTATATAATTTTAATATTTTCTACATAAAAGGTTTTTCTCTCTCTTTTTTAAAAGATTTATTACTTATTTTTATTGTAAAGTCAGATATACAGAGAGGAGGGGAGACAGAGAGGAAGATCCTCTGTCTGATGAGTCACTCCCCAAGTGTCAGCAATGGCCAGTGCTATGCCGATCCAAAGCCAGGAGCCACGAGCTTCTTCTGGGTCTCACAAGCGGGTACAGGGTCCCAAAGCCTTGGGCTGTCCTCGACTGCTTTTCCAGGCCAAAAGCAGGGAGCTGGATGGGAAGTGGAGTTGCTGTGATTAGAACTGGCACCCATATGGGATCCTGGCACGCTCAAGGCAAGGACTTTAGCTGCTAGGCTACGCTGCTGGGCCCGACATAAAAGTTTTTTTCATTGCAAACATGATGTAAATGGAAGCTGTGAGAACTCCTATGTGAGCAGGTCATCCTGTGGCAGCCAAACAGGCAATGACAATTGCAAAGATCTTTACAAATTCTAACAGTAAGAATGCAATGTTATTCTTCAAATGAATATGTTTTTAGTAACCAGTGTATTTTAATGTTTATAAGAAATAGCCATTTCTTACATAAACATAAGTTAGAAATTTAGATGAGGAAAGTATGTTACACGGGGTATTGAAAGAATATGTTTAAAGAATTGGAAATAGTTAAGATTTTAAAATGCCCTCCTTATGAGCCCAGAGGCGTGGCCTAGCCATTAAAATCCTTGCCTTGAACACACCGGGATCCCATATGGGTGCTGGTTCTAATCCCAGCAGCTCCACTTCCCATCCAGCTCCTTGCTTGTGGCCTGGGAAAGCAGTCAAGGATGGCCCAAAGTCTTAGGACCCTGCACCCGCATGGGAGACTCGGAAAGAAGTTCCTGGCTCCTGGCTTCGGATCGGCACAGCAGTGACTGTTGCGGCCACTTGGGGAGTGAACCATCGGACAGAGGATCTTCCTCTCTGTCTCTCCTCCTCTGTGTTTATCTGCCTTTCCAATATAAAAAAAACTAAATAAATAACCCCCCCCCCAATTTTTAAAATGCCCTCTTTAATATTTTGCTTATATCATTAACTTTAGTTACAAAGAAAAAATGGTGAAAAAGCATTTGCTAAGCAAAGATCAATGTACACTAAGGCCTCACTGAGACATCACCAGCTCGGGGATTAACGCAGTATGAATGCACTCCCAACTCCTGGTCATTCTGACTTCCTCCTCACCTACACCTTTTGTCACCGGAATCTATTTAACACTAGAGTTAAGGTCACTGATGCATTTAGTCTGATTTATCTAGTGATTATATTTCAATTATTCTCCTAGGCAAATTATTTCCTTCAAAGTGAATATAATTTTACTTTAATTTTCTAAGTAATTCTAACTCATTTATTAAATACTTTTACAAAGGCAGTTACAGAAGAGAACAAAAAGCTATTCTGGGTGGATTATTAAGAAATGTAGAGAAAAATATCCCTTTCCAAAAGACATATACATTTTCAGTTGTTAGTGAATTATGAACTTGGAAATTGAGAAAATGCCAAAGCGATAGCACCTATACCACAAAGGGCACACAGACATGTTTAAGAAGCAGGGACTTTGTGTGTTGACAGTTAACAAATGGGTAACACTATCTTATGACCTTAAACATGCTACCTGGTGGATTGCTAACATGGGGATTTGCTTACTGCCTCGTTTCTTAGGAGGGGCTCAAACTTACAATTAAACATTTGCATGCAGGTGTATTTTTATTTTTTATTTTCTGGATCAGATATCTACATTTTCTCAGGTTCCCTTACTAGCAAAACCTTTACTACCAGTTTTCGTGTTAACAGCTTACTTCTCTTTGGAAAGGCGTGTTTTGAGGTAACCTCTGTAAATCAGGTCTACATAGAAAGCATGCATAATCTACAGGCTGGTAGAAAAATAACAGTCACCTCCCCATCAGTAAGTATTTAAAGAATGAACTTGACTAGACAAAAAAATCACAAGTATTACAAAAAATCTGAGCTTCTGAAGTTGGGTAGAAAAGAGGCCACCTTATGTGAAAACGTACACTTGGGAAGTATAAAACATCCCTGAAAAGTGATCTCACAAATATATCAGAGTTCTTAAATAACTGATAAATATTCCCACCCTAATTATAACAAGAAAAAAAAGAAACATGTTAATAAATAGGGAAAAGATATATGACAACGATTAGATAAAATAGGATACATATCACATGTCTCAATGGTTACTATATACAAACACAAATATTTATAATGTATGAATAAATATACAAAGTGCTCATATTTTTGACAGTAATTATTTCTTAGTAATAGGTATGCAAATTATTTCTTCTTTATATTATTACATATTTTCCTAAATTGAGCATATATTCCTATGAAAATCAGAAAAAAAATTAAACAAAAAAAGAATGAGCAGTAAAATTTAATGAATCACAAGTCCCATAAACCAGTGAAAGCTAGAGTATAAATGAGCTGGAATTTTAGACCTAAGGGGTAGGAAATATGACTAACATACTTAATGCCACTTGAAACCTAAAATGCACTTAGATAACAAATCTCAGCTAATGCAAATAATATCTAAAGGTCACTCCAATATTTAGAGGTTATTAAAGAGATTTTTTCCCCTGTTTTTTATTGCTATCTTTATTTTTTTATGTTCTTTAAGAAAACTTTATTAGAATTTATTTTAATTTGAGAAACAGAGAGTTCCCATCCAGTGATTCACTCTGCAAATGCCTGCAATTGCTGGGCCTTGGCTGAGGCCAAAGTCCAGAGTTGGGAAGGCAATCCAGGTCTTTTACATAGGCAGTAAGAGAAGGCTAGTGGTAAGAGAAGGTTTCTAGTAGAAAAACAAATTTCACCTCTATTATGTAATGATGAAGTGGTATGCATAAAACAACATTAATTTATATTATATTATAACATAAATACTGTAAGTATAGAAAGTCACATATATTTACTTGTTCAGGAAATAAGTTAAAATTATCTCCTTTATTTATGCTAAGGCACATACTTTTTCTTAATTAAGAAAATAGAAATTGCTTAATTGCTTACCCCAATATTAAACACCCCTGTAAAATATTCCATATTTGCTTGAATGAACCAAATGTTGCTTAAACCCAGGTCGTCACTTCTCTTTTTAGCACGAATTAATGACAATTCCTTGTTTTCTATTAATATAACCTAGATTATGCAAAAGAAGTAATTGTACATTCAGTAACATAATTCAGATATTAAGGCAAAGCATTATACTGTGTTTAATAATTTCAATAATGTTGAACAAAGTAGACTGATTCTCGACAGTGTGAAATATGCCAGATACCCTGGATGCATAAGGTCCTTGAACCCTTCCTCTTGAAGCCTAAAGAACAGTACAGCTTAAAGTACAGTAATATGAATAAAGCAGGGAATAGGAATACTCTGTGACAGGTGTTAAAGGAAGACTGTTTTGTAATGGAAACACTTAAACTTTATGATTGCGGGCGGTTTTTATGTGGAAGTAACATTATTTGGGGCCTGAAAAATTAAAGAAAATTAGCTGTGGAAACTGAAGAGTATTTCAGATAGAAATAAAAATGAAGGTCTAAGGTGAAAAGAGGATGGCATGTTTTGAAGAACTGAATACCTGATATATCTACACATCGTGTGTGTGTGTGTGAGATATTGACAGTGAAAAACTGAATAACTGGTAGATATATCTACGCATAGTGTGTGTGTGTGTGTGACACTGACAGTGAAGAAGTGAATACCTGATATATATCTACGCATCGTGTGTGTGTGTGTGTGTGTGTGTGTGTGTGTGTGAAGAACTGAATAACTGGTAGATATATCTACGCATAGTGTGTGTGTGAGATACTGACAGTGAAGGTGGGATATAAGGTATAAAAGACAAAGTCGGAGAGGTAAGTTTTAAACAGATTCTGTATTTACAACTGAAAAAGTCTACATCATTTGCAATATCTGGCATGCATTACTAGAGGCTTGGCAGATTGCAAGAAACAATTTGGGGTCAAGTGCAGTAATCATGGCAGAATTTGAAACTTCACTCACTATACTCCTAGTTCTCATTTTTCCTTATCCTTGCTTTATGGAAAAATCCTGATGGCTTCATAGAAGAACATTATGGGAGTACAACTGGTGGCAAGGGCTTTTTAGCCTTTATTCTAGCTGAACCCTTTCCACTTTCTCATTGTCTATAACCTTCAGCATAACTGATTAGAAAGGGGAGTTGGGTGGGTGGCAATGGGAGTGGGAGAGATAACGCACCCTTGACACTGATTCTCCAGGTTCTATGGTATGAGTTCTCTCCCTCCTGCTTGGTTATGAAACTGTTGCTTTCCTTAGTAATAGAACAGACACTTGCCTCTTCTCTTAGCATTGGCTTTTAGTTTCAAAGAAAAGAACAACCTGTACCTTCAATCACTGTGTTACATATTCTGATCAGTCTGTTGGATTTGTTTTTCCTTCTAGAAATGTTTGCTGTAATTAGTTGTACCTTCCAAAGAGCTCAGGAAGAGTTGCCCCTACTGAATTAGTGCGCGCGTGCGCACACACACACACACACACACACACACGCGCGCGACTCTTTCAGTTTTATGTTAAAGATGACAAAGATGGTCTCTGTAAGGAATTGATTCAGTAGAGTAAAAGACTCAAGACAGTGCAGACTTCTAACAAAGAGAAGCAATGAATGAATAAATTATGTCCATTTACCTTAAAATATTTAGCCATTATATATGATGGTATTTTGAACTTATCAATAAGAAAAAATCATGATGTAATATAGAGTGAAAACAAGGCACTAAAATTGTATTTGCACTTTTGGAATTTGGAACAATATCCATATGGACAATGTCTTAAGGAGACTAAGGAAAGAAAAGTCTATGATGGGACAGCATGACTTCTTTTAAAAAACACTTTTTCTTATTATTGCTCCAATTTTGATGCAATGGATCAAAATCAGGATGTCAAAAGGACAAGCTCACTAAATTTCAAAATTTAGTCTTCAGTTAAAAGTGGAAAATGACTTTGTTAGATTATTTTACCTAACAATGGAAAAGTTATTTTAAAATAACACATGAAACTTAATTCTGTTATTATCGCAGTCTGTTTTATCTTTCTAAATCCTGGTAATTGGCTTCAAAGAACAAAGTAAATGTGCTGCATGTATCATGGGGGAATATTTAGGAAGAATCCTCAGGTACAGAAGGGCAGTATTAAGTACAGCATAGTACGATGAACTGTATTTAGCTAAATGTTCCCTTTTATCTGCTCAGATCTTACCTGGCATAATGGCAACATATGAGCAAGGACAATTCCAACATGGCCCTGAAAAAGTCCAGAAAGGAAACGAATATGTTAATTTTTTGGTCCCCGTAGCTTTTGCTCATTTTGAGATGACAATCTTGCCAAATACAAACATAACCTTAAATGTAATATAGAAAAGTCACATAGTCTTGGAAAGGCTAAAAGGAACAGAAGGAGAGATACAATACCCCGCCACTGCAGAAATCCACAATCCTGTCCCCAGGCTTAGCCTGACTGATGACCACATACACCAGATTGTTCAACTGCTGCTGCTTCCTCAGAGCTCGGTCACTGGACATCTTCCCTGGGGAAGACAAGAGGTGAAGAACCATCACATACCACGGAAGACTAAGAAAACACCACCCTAGGGAGGAGAAATGAATGCATGCATATGTAAGGGTACTTCAAAAGGTTTGCCTAAAAGGAAAAGTTCATGCAAAATGGGGTTATAAGTTCATCTTGATGCAAAAACTTTTGAAACAAAGTCACAGGTTTTTTTTTTCACAATATGTATTTTCAATGAACATTCTGAACATCCTTTATAAAGGCACATATATGTGCACAAAAGAATGAACTATAAATTTCACACAATCTGCTATGAGAAGAGTAAAGGATTAGAAACCATAGATGAACTCTATTTTTGCTTTTTACTTTTATTCCTATCCAACTTTTTTTTTTCATAATAAAGAAAATCTCTGGTGGCCCCCCAAAAGTCTAAAGAATGGAAACAATAAATGAAACATTAAGTGGGGAGTGTATGCATCAATTTATTCACAATAAACACTAAGTTGAGAATAAATGCATCAATTTATTGACAATAAATGTGTTAATAAATTTTGGCTAGGTGGACAAAAACAGGAGTAATCCTCTTTTCCTTTTGTCTTTCCTGAAGATATGTGACAGAATACCTAGTTTCAACACAGTGCTTAAATATCCTTGTACAAAGATCTTCAATAAATGAAAACCTTTTGTATTATTTAACTGGCACATCCTTGACCTTCTAATTCATCTTAATTAATTCTTGGAAACCTTAGGACACAGGTGTAATGCTGTCTTAAATACATCAGTGGTTATTTTATTTAGAGAGAAATTGGATTTTCCTTTCAGTGCTTTCAAGTTTTCATGAGTCAGAGAAAGAAATTTAATGCAATTAGACTGAAGATGGGGCATTTCCAAGAACAAAATGTCTGGGGACCTGCAGTGAGAAAACATCTTGAATTCTCTTTCCAAAGTCACGAGTACAGAAATAGATCTTCAGAAGAATGAATGAACTTACACATCTTGTGTACATTCCATGTAAGAGCAATATTTAGAAAATGTTAGAGTAGATATCAATAATGTGGATATAAAGGAAAATTCAGATAATCTTGTTGGTGTGTCTATCTTCATAGAAAACTATCATATTTTTCTTACTTCCCTGTTTCTCTTCCTCCACATTACTAAACTGAATAAAAAACGGTAAATTTTTATGTTAGGAGGAAACATGAATGTAAATGAAAAATTTATAAGAAAAAAATTCATAATCTCATAAATAAAATACAACATTTACCTACATATATTTTCAGAAATAACACAAAATTTTTGGTATTCTAGCATATGAGATCTTGATATTACAAGTATTTTCTGATGTCAATTACACTAACTACACATTATTTATGTAACCAATTTTTCTACCATAATGATGCAATCATCCCCATACAACTGAGTCTTTGAACACACTTTTATCTTTTAGGCTTAAACTTTTAAAAATTATTATTATCATTTTATGATAGTTATATAGGCCAAGGGATTTTCCCCACCTCTTTCCCTAATACTCTCCACACAATGAGTTCATACATATAATTATATAACATAGTTCTTCAAAAATAGCCATAAGTCAATCATTGCAAGCATGGACAATGGCAGAGTCCAGCATCCCATTGTCAAGACATATCCAACAGTTTCAGTGGGAGTCTATCCTCAATCCACAAGTAGAGATGCACACTGGACCATATCCTCATATCTGGACATGTCAGTCTCTAGTACATAGTCACTATAAATACCTCCAAATGATGAGCCACAACAAAATCAACAGAAAGAAAAACAAAAATTTACAATGTTATGAAGTTAAACAATATGCCACTAGATAAGATAGTTTCCATTACACAGTTAGTATACATCCTCTTAAATGAAAAGCCACAAGACAAAATCAACTACAGGAAGAAGAAAAAAAAGAAATATACAATGCAATGAAGTAACACTACTGAATGACTAATGTGTCACTGAAGAAATGAAAATCAAGAACCTTCTTGCAGAAAATGATACTACTGTATGATCTATGAGTCATTGAAGAACTCAATCAGAAAAAAAAGTGGAGAAATGAAACTAACAAAAAAAATCAAAATCCATGAGATAAAGTGTCCACTGATTTTTGTTAGGGAGATGTGTCTCCTGTAGGCAACATATGGATGGGTTTTGTTTTTTTAATCCAGTCTAATAATGTATGATGCTTGACTGATGAGTTTAATCCATTTACATTTAGGGCAAATAATAATATGTGGCAATTTGGGCCTGTCATTTAGCAATGGGTTGTTCATTGATTTATTCTTCTGTTGTTATTTTACTGGGATGTTCTTCACATTTGCCTTTGGTTTTGGTGGATACTTTTCCTTTTCTAAGTAAAGAGAACTTCTTAATTACCCTTTCTGGGAAGATTTGGAAGAGGCATATTATTTGAGCTTTTCTTGACTGTGGAAGAATTATGTTTCATTTTCAAAGACAGAGGAAAGCTTTGCTGGGTACATTATCCTGGGCTGACAATTTTTGCTTTTAGAATCTGGAATATGTCACTCCATTCTGTTCTGGCCTGTAGAGTTTCCTGTGAGAGATTAGCTATGAATTTAATTGCCATTCCTCTGCCAGTTAATTTTTTTTCACGTGCACATGTAAGGATCTTTTCCTTATGTTCAATTGATGAGAGCTTGATTATCATGTGTTGTGGTGATTGCTTTTGGTTAACTCTGTTGGGAGTTCCGTGTGCCTCCTGGATGTTGCTTCCCAATTCTTTCTCCATAATTTTTAAAAATTATTTCATTAAATATATTTTTTCAATGATTCATGTCATTTTATTTATTTTTTTTACTTCTTTTCATTATTATCATTTTATGATACAGTTCCATAGGCTCCTGGCATTTCCCTTTTCCCAGCCCCAATTCCCTCTCCCCTCACTGAGTTCTCTTATATCATTACTATAGTATAGTTCTTAATATACAGTCATATGTCCATCATTGCAGGCATGGACAATGGCAGAGAGTTCAGCACCCTATTGTCAAGATACAGTCATTATAAGTCCATCTTTGTCTGGAAATAGACTACATACTGCATTGTATCCTCACATTTGGATATGTTAGTCTCCATTTCACAGCTACTGTATATCCCTTAAATGAGAAGCCACAATACAAAATCAATATCAGGAAGAAAAATAGAAATTTACAGTGCCATGAAGTTAAATAACATGCTACTGAATGACAGTCTCCATTACACAGTTACCATACATCCCCTTAAATGGAAAGACACAAAACAAAATCAGTAACAGGACATGAATAACCCATTGCTAAAATGACAGAATCAAATTGTCACCTATTTTTATTAGCCCTGAATGTAATGGTTTAAACCCATCAATCAAGCGTCACAGATTAGTAGATTGGGTTAAAAAAACCAAAACCCATCTCTTTGTTGCCTACAGGAGACACATCTCACCAAGAAACATCAGTGTATACTATATCTCATGGATTTTTATGATTTTGCTTTTAGCTTAATTTCTTCAAAACAGCTTTTTTTCTTATATTAAATTCTTCACCTACTCTTAGGTTATACAAAAGCATCAAGAAGGTTCAAGAAGGTTCTTGATTTTTTTTTTTTCATTTCTTCAGCGACACATTAGTCATTCAGTAGCATGTCACTTAACTTCATGGTGCTGTTACTTTTTTCTTCCTGTTGTTCAATACATTTTTTAACCCAGCTTCTCATTCTGCACCTTTTGGAACTCCCATTAACTGTTACATTTGGCCTTTTAATAGTGTCTCTTAACTCTTGAATACTTTTTTTAACTTGACCCAGCTCTGCTTCCAGCTTTTTGATTGTTTCCTCCTGGTCACAAAAAATATCTTCCAATTCTGAGATTCTTTCTACTGCTTCATTCATTCTGTATTGAGACTTTCCACTGAATTTTTAAAATTTGCTCTAATGCATCCTTCATTTCCAATAATTTGGTTTGACTTTGTTTCCCTGTTGGTATTTTGCATGACATATTTCTTAAATCCCTGCCTGTGCTTCTCATTGTTTTAGTATATGTGCTGCCAAGCAAGCATAGCCTCTCACTGTTGATAACAAGCTTTATAACAAATGTTTTGAATTCTGTATCCCCCATTCTTTTGATGTATTCCTCAGTTAATCCTGAGGTTAGCAAAAGCACTTGCTCCTTTGCAGGAAGAGTCTTCTGTAATATTCATTGTGCCTCTGTCTCTTCTTTTGCTCTTGGTTATTGTACTTCTGGTTAGCAGATTCTTCTCCTTAGGGCTGGTTTCTGAGCTTTGTCACCCACAGGTGTGCAATTCGATTTTACTATTTTACTTATTGTAGCTGGTACACAGTTCTTTGTTTGCAGTCATTTGTGCCACTCCCTCTAGTAAGTTTCAGATCTGGACGTTCATGTTAGACTTCCACCAAAGTCTCTCTAAAGACCCAGCTCCTGGCTCAGCTCTCTACCTCCTGTGATCCTGTAGTGTTGTTGCACTGCTGCCTGCATAATGTTTCTCCCACTTCTGGTTCATGCAGTTCCCAGGATCAGGCCCAGGTATCCTGAATAGCTAGGTTGCTGATGGTGCTGATCTTGCTGGAACCTGCTACCTGTTATGTCTGAGGGCCACCCGGACCTATTTTGAGTCATAAGATGCCAGAGTCGGTACTATTTTCCCTGTGGAACCAGTGTAATATACTGAGCTCAGTGAGTTTGCTCCCAGCTCAGTCTTGATCTGCTGGCAGTTAGGTTTGGGGGCTACCCAGACCTATTTTAGGTGAACCTGTAAGATGCCACAGCATTGCAAATTTACAGAATCCAAAATGAGTTCATTTCCAGCTTAGTGCACATGCAGTCCTGTACATAGCCTTAGCCTCCCTGCACAAAATGGCACCAAATTTGGCCCTAATGGGATTTTGGCTGTGAAATCTACCCTGTTCCAGCACCTCCTGTTTGGGATCTGCTACTCCTGCTCAAATCAAACAAACCAGCAGGGTGGGCAGTTCTCTGTTTGCATTCACTTCCTG